ATTGTGAACTAATTCTCTATGTAAAATAGTACTAAAAAAAAATCTAACAAATATACCCATAAAACGTCCTGGATAATGTATTGATCGACTAATAATTGATACTGATGAAATAGTTTTTGGTTTAGGAATATCAATAAATATTCCTCTATATGCATTACACATTTGTATTTGATAATGTTTTAAACCAAAAAATAATTGTAAACATGTTATAAAAGCTGTTAATAAACAAATATATTTAATATCTTGATTAATATGATATAAATTTAAATTATAACATAAATCTTTTGATAAATCAGTTAAACCACATAGAATTAAATTAAGAAATAATAATAATTTTTTTGTTAATATATATGTATGATCTTGAATCCAAAATGTAAAATAATAAACAAGTGTAAATGCACTTGTATATATACAAATAATTAATTTTGAATAACGAAAATGTAAACGTATTGAATAAATATGTTTTTTAAAAAAGTTTATAAAAGAATTTAAACAATGAAATAAATATGAATATTTATATTGTTCATATGAATTTATAAATTTTGATGATTTTAATAGATTATATTTAACATATTTCCAACGTGGTAATGATTTTAATGATGATGATGATGATGATTTTTTTAATTTACCACGAAATGTATTTAAAAATAATATTGTTAAACAAACAGCCAAATAAACAATAAAATAATAATATGGAGCATTTCTTAATATATTATATAATATACTTTGTTTATTTAATTCTAATGAATAATTTAAACGTATTAATTCATTTTCAATTTCATATTTATCATCATATGTTAAATTTTCAGTATATTTTTGTATTTTATTTGTATACCAATAACGTGTATTTATATATGTTTCATTTAATTTTCCAGTTCGATTAGTACCTATATATATATATAGAATTTTAATCATATAAAATGAGAATTCATCATTTATTTTATTGAACGAAGGCCTATACAGATTTATTAGATTTCTTTAAATCACCGGACTTATCTATTGATTGCATAATAATACATTTTAACTATATCAAAAGAGAGGTAGTCTTCATTTGCAGCTAGTTACTTGTTTTCAGTCTAGTTTTTTTCGTTCGATGATAACATATACAATGGGATTTATAGAAAAATTCCGGATGCTACCTGACTATGTTGTTCGGCACATATCCAATGGATAATGTATTCAAACCTTGGTACTACCAGCTATGCCTGAACTAGAGCCTGTTGGACTGGTCGAGATCCAAAAGCTTTGAACTCGATGTGTAGGGTGCACTAGTCACTGAATACAAAAAAGCGAGAAAAAGTATCTTCGAGCCGGCTATTCTATCTTGATTGTAAAGTTTCATTGAAATCATCAAAATAAGTTCCGATCCCGGGACAAGACACTAACGGCTGTTTGTCTCGTATCATCCATTCGATATCCAGAATAAAATGACTATGCAATTTGAATTTTTATATGTCTGTTTAAAAAATTCTCTAACTTAGTAAAACATATTTACCTAAATTTATAATCATATATTGTTGAATATTAATACCCATTTGATGAAGTTTTTCTAATGTATCTTTAATAATTGAAATTTTTGTGTTATCAACTGCACAATTAATATCAGATTGTAATTTAAAAATAATTTCACAATATAAATAAATTGTTCCTAAACCATAAGATATAAGATTTTCTAAACGATTTTCATAATTATTTTCTTTTTCAAATATAGATAAAATTGGAAAATATCTTAAACCTAACACAAGACCAATACCAAATTGTATAATTAAATCAAATAATGGTCCATGTTGAAAATGTTTAGCACCATGAATTATATATTCATCAAATATATGTAAAATTTCTAATGCTATTATACCAAATACAGCAGCTGATTGAAAACGATAAATATGTGAATGAGAATTAAATATCATAGGCATTGATAAATTTTGCCAAAATGATTTAAATGTTCGTTTTTTTCGACAAGAAAAATTTTCAAAAAGAATTTGAATTAATATAAGTATCAATAAAATACATAATGATATATAATTAGTTGGAATTTTATAATATAAATTTAAATTTGTTTGAAATAATCGACATATTTTTGATGTTTTTTCTTTTGTTTTATTATGTAGTTTTTCATATGCATTTAAATGTTGAATTTTAAATTGATAAATTGTATGACAACAAAATGTTGCAAAAAGAATTGTTATTAAACAAATAAATAAACGCCAAAAATAATATAAAAATGAATGATGACAAAAAACTGATGATGTTGTTGTTGTTGTTGTTGTTGATGAAGAATTTACTGAATAACGACGAAGATGTACAATTGTATGTGGAGAATTAATTGCCATTGTTGATGATTCATTATCATTTGAAAAAGCTGGATTTTTTAAACCATCTTCAATAATTAATTGATCCGATGATATATTTGGAATTGAATAAAATTTTTCACGACTATGACGATGAGAATTTATTGTAGACATTAAACTAAAATGAACAGGAAGGAAATGAAATTCATGGTTGATTTTAATTTTATTTCATTTGTTCATATGATAAATAAGAGATAGAAAAGAAAGAAAAACAAAAAGAAAAGAAAAAAAAGTTACATATGAATATGAGAGTTGTGTAAGATTTTTTTTTTTTAACAGATGCTCATAAAAGATAAATATGCGTATATATTGTCCGTTCGTCTATACTCTCATGATCGCATTTATCATCATCATCGTCGAGCCGTATGAAAGAGTTGTATAATAAACGAGTCCATATATATACACTCACATGTGTCCATCATTCACAACGAATTTTGATCAACAGATAGTCAATGAAAATGATGCAAGCAATACCGATTTTACTATTTTACTCTGTAATTGTCTCTGTAAATGTGTCTATACTATGAATGATTGTAAATTTGAAAATAATGATATCATCTAGCCTCAATGTGTCTCGTCACCTACTTTAATTGGGGACACTGTAATGTAATCCATCATCATTGACCATATCAAACACGAGAATATCTTTTCTTTCAGTTCTTGTTTTTTTTTTTTCTTTTTCTTTTTTTTTTGAGCTTTTCATTTCTATTATAATAAACCGTTCAACTATAGTTGCTAATTTTTTTTTTCTATACGACAAAAAACTAATAAAGTGAGATTTAATTTGACAGGATATGTTCAAAGACATACAATTAATATTTACAAATGAATTAAAACAATTTCAAATTAATAACAACAAAGAAATGATGAAGATAAATGAAAGAAAAAATATATATATTAACTTACTTGTTTTTATTAATTGAATTTTTATCTTTATCTCGTAATCGACATAGAAAATGATAAGTTGAATGAAAAAAAAGTATTAATATTGCCAAACAAATAAAAATAACACCAATTATTGATTGAATACCACGACTATTCACTAAAATAAGATATGAATATTATATTTGAGTAAAAGAATAAGCAAAACAAAAAAAAAAAAAAAAACAACAACGAAGTCATCTTTTTTCAATTTGTCAAATGTCAAAGTTCGAATGGATAAAAGTTCATAATGATCTTTTTTGTACAAAACAGAACAGACAATCCATTATTATCCTTTTTGAATAATGGATGACGTTACTTTTTGTCATATACATTAATACATTTTCATATCGTCTTCTTTCGTTTCATTTCTTATCATATTTATCAATGTTTGATTTCTTTCAATTGAATAGACAACTTCCTTGTTTTTTGTTTTTCAATCAAGATCTATATTCATTGATAATCATAAGAATTGATTGACCATGTTTATTCGCATGAGTTCAGGATTGAGACGATAAAACAGACAGATGAACTATTATTCATATAAAAGAAACTAACCGTAACATCGTTTATCCTTTATGCATATATGGCACATCAAAATGATCGTTAGATATTGAACTTTTCTTTTTTTTTCATAAACTAAACAAGCAATATTTGTAATGTGACTCGAAACTTATTATTTATAAGATTGAGAATGCTGGAGAATAGTTTGTGTCAGTATGACAAAATATCATAGACTAGGTCCCGTGAAATTATTACGATCTTGATGTTTCAAAATATTTTTAATTTTTTCAAATTATTATTTATATAAAAGCATAGGAATGAAAACATGATTGGGTAATTTATTTTAATTGAGAAAAGATCACAGAAGTGGAAAAACGATATTGTTTTAGTAAAAAAAATTGTTTTTAATGAAAAATGATGTACAGATGATGATAAACATCATATGATAAAATAATTGAAAACATGAAAAGAAATCGAAAAAAAACATTGATGTATGTGTTCATAATTATGATGCTTGGCACCAACATTTCGTTCTGTTCTAACGTTATCAGCAACAAACAGACTTATGCTTAACGAAATTGATCGGATTTTAGATGCAGAAAGACATCAAATGAATCCCGAATTACTTGCTTTTTTTTTTGTTGAATTTAACATAATCTCTCTTCTTTATACTTTTTCAAAAAAAAGAATAAAATAAAAAGTTCATAATATTATACTATAACTGTGAAAGTATTTTCCGAATGTCGATTAGTTCCGGACCGGGTTAGATTTTTTTTTAGAGTATAGTGTATAGTTGTAGAAACTAATGATATTGAAAGAGTTAAACTTGTTATCTAAATAATATAATCGATGGTATATGATGCATAATTGTTCTTGGCAAATTTTGAAGTCAATTTTTTAAAATTCCTGTTAGTTTGGTTATTTACGTTAAAATTATCAAAACGGAAAGCAGACAGAGAAATTTTTTTATCAAATAAAAATCCTACTCATTCGATCTCTATTTCTAATTAACAATAAATGAAATACAACAATTCGAAAAACTGAAAACCATGTATTACGAGGATTGTTTGTTCTTTTTCATAATAATAAGTAAAGGGAAAAAAGCAACAGTTTTTTATTTATTATGTTTTATCAGATAACAAAATATTTCACTAGGAAATATATTCTAATAAGAGACAAAAAAATAGAATACGAATCTGAAAACTATAAAATTAGTTTTAATCATTCAAGAAAAACATTTGATTGAAAATAAAGAACTCAGGAAAATTTTCTTGGCGCAAAAAAGATAAGCAGAAAAACTGTTAGAAATTCATCTACAATGATTATTATATTTGTTAAAAGTTTCTAGAAAAATAGATCTATATCCTTATTAGAAAATCTGTTGAAGTTATTCAATACTTGTGAATTCATATTTTTGACATTTAGAAAAGAATTTTATATTATAAAAAAACTCACAGTTTCTCTAGATTTTTACATAAGAACGAGTTAGCGGAAGCAAAATTGAGGAATAAATTCTTAACTCGAAGATTTACCTGCTCGAAAGTCTCATTATTCGAAACATATCCTACGAATTTCAATGAAAACCATTTTGAAACATTCAACTTTCAAAAACTACCGATTTTGTTTGCCGTTTCTGAAAAATTCAATCAGTTTTTATAAGTATTGAATATATGGAGAAGGAAGTATACATATTGCGAAAACCGGCGATTTCTATTTCACTGCATGGATATTTTTAAATTTAGATGTCAGTCGATCTCATGCCTTTATATTTATGGTAACGAACTCAAACCGCAAGTTCTAACCACATCGGATGTTTTCAAGTTTGATTATTTATTAAAGATGGCGCCACAAAATTAAACATTAAAACAAGAAGGAAAAGTGATACCATCAAATACAATATACTGTAGCATATTTAAGGTTGTAGGTGAAGAGACTATCAATAAATACATCTACGTCCTTTTCACAATCTTTCTTTTTTTCTCTTATCTTTTGAAGAAATTAATTTTTCAATAAAATAATAAATATCAACAATTTCGAAAAACGCTCTCGTTAGTATTAGATACTCTATCGATGTATCATCGGTTCCACAGACACTTTCTAGGAATCGTAAATACTCTAAGTAAAATTCACATTTTTGAGTAATATTCAAGACAGCAAAACATATTAATTTCATAGAAATTAAAAAATAAAGCAAACTTGAAAAAAAAAAACTAATGAAACGCTCGATTCGTCGACTCTGATGAAAAATTAACAATAGGTATAGTTGAAATTCTTTAAATATACTTCAAATGAAGAAACTTACAGGAAAACAAAATTTGATATAACAATGCATTATTACGGATAATTCATTCATTAGACAAGTTGGCCGATGTACGAGAAGTATATGTTTTCTTTTTTTATACTCTTTGCGGATATAAGTTCGACAATGTTGTATAAAAAACTAAAGATTGTATACAAGTTTTTCTTTGTTTTTATATCTGATTCTTGTTGCAAAACATTCTTCAATCAGAAATCATTCAAAAATTCTAATCTTAGATTATTCATAGAATCATCTACATTTGAGAAAATTCAATTTTGAATTCTATCATATTTTTTGAAAACAAAAACCTATTAAAAATATATCAATAAACAACTTACATTGATCACAATATTCTCCAGTATACATAAAATTGCATACACATTTATATTTAGTAACTAAATTTTTACATTGCCCATAATGACCACAACGTGTATTATTATAACAACTATTTATTTCTATAATAGAGACATATAATAATAAAAATATCCAAAACAGAACTTATGTCTATGAACATCTTACTCATTTTACAAATATAATGATTACTTCGTCGTTCTAAACGAAATTTTTCTTCTAATGATATACGTCGTGTTGCTTTACTTATATCAATAATTAAACATATATTTGCAGGTGGTATATCAGGTAATGGTTTATATATTAATGAATAATCATTTCTATTTCCAACCGATATAAATTGTTGTTCACCCATTCTTTGTTGTAAATTTAATACTGAACAAAAAAAAAAAAGAATTTTGTTTTTTTCAACGAATAAAACTTAAATTTAATAAAACTCACAATGTTTTCCCATGGTAAAATTAACGGCAATTCGAGGACTATCAAATGATTGAGTTTGTTCATATATATGACCGAGAACATAATCAAATTCATTTATTGTTTCTATATCCCAAAGTTCAGCTTTTAATAAACGACAACGATTAGCAGCTAAAAACAAAGAATTTAATTTTATATATACAAAAACATTTCGCAATTCAAATATGATCTTATGTTATTTAACATATTCTGTCACTCAAATACATAATTAATAGAATGGAGATAGCTTACTCACCAAGAGGAATTCTTAATCGAACAGATTGATCGTTTTTGAGTTCAAACTCTGTAAAATTCTTCACTCTTTCTTGCTGAATTATAAACATTTTACTGAAGTTTCAGCGTTTAATAACGGTATAGACATGTAAATCGAATAATAGGATTTTGATATATGAACTTTTTCTCAGAGCTACACACCAATTGAAGATATGACATACCTTACGACACGAAGCGCTCGTTGCAATATATTTTTAAAATATGGTTCTAGTCTAATCTTCAGTATGTCTACCATTTTATTAGTTTAATTGGAATTAGCGACACTGATCCTTTGAGCTCAGGATAATAAGACCTCTTCGAGACAGTTTCATTCTAAATCAATCTCTCAACATATTCTTGAACAATAATCAAATTCGTTGGTGCTGTATTGTTCAGAGTATTCTAATTACAACTTGATATACTGCTGAGAAAAATCTCTGATCGAAATCTCGTTATCCGATTTATTGATACATACTGTATCCCATACTAAAATTTCAGTAAAATGCCTATAACACAACAAGACAGGGTTGACGGTATTTATATTTTTCATACCTTATTGAAATCTACCTAATTTACAGAGTCTGAACTTAAAATTGATTAATCACTTCAAACGATACTCTTATAAGCGTGTTCTTTTCTACCTTTATATTAGTCAATGATTTGAATGATAAATTAAATCGCAAAATACAATCTTATTGTTTAGTATTGATTTGAAAAACGAACAATTAGTTATTTAACCCTTTGGGTCCGGGCGACGCACATATGCGTCCTGGGATTTTACGCACTGAATACCTTTAAAAAACATGGTTGTTTTAGTTATTTAGTAGTAAAAATTGTATGAATATTTGTATTTA